CTGAATTGTGTGCCATCCTATTAATCTCTGTATCTTTTTTCCGCTGGGCTTTATGGTGATGTATGTTCATAAGGAACAATGGCAAAGGAAAGCAGAGTGACCCTTGATTATTATTATTTTTTTTGAAACGGAGTCTCGCTCTGTCGCCCAGGCTGGAGTGCAGTGGTGAGATCTTGGCTCACTGCAAGCTCCGCCTCCTGGGTTCACGCCATTCTCCAGCCTCAGCCTCCCAAGTAGCTGGGATTACAGGCGCCCACCACCACACCAGGCTAATTTTTTTGTATTTTTTAATAGAGACGGGGTTTCACTGTGTTAGCCAGGATGGTTTTGATCTCCTGACCTCGTGATCAGCCCGCCTCAGCCTCCCAAAGTGCTGGGATTACAGGCGTGAGCCACTACTCCCGGCCGACCCTTAATTCTTGACTGTACCTGAAACTTCAGTGTAGAGATTTCTGGCAAACTTGGCTGGAACGTATGGAGCTTACATTTTCCCAAAGTATTACAGTTATCTTTGGACTTTTGTGATATTTTCTGTATTTCATCTTTTGCGGTACCCAAATCTGTCACTGCACTGGAGATTGAGTCTGAAGAAAGGCAGTTAGTTACACCAGGTGCACTGACTTTTTCCTATAGTTACTTTTCCATGAGCAAACATGGCCTAGTAGTCTGATCAATCATTAGTAACCTTTCTGTTCATCTGTTGGGGATGGAGCTTTCCTTTCCTAGCTGTTCACATTTGTTTTCTTAGTATTTCCCATAAAAATATTTCACAGAAATAAATATCTAGACATTAAAACTACCCATGGTAATGTAATGACAGGTTATGTATTGAATGCCCTTGAATCTTTGTCACCATTCTTTCTTTAAATCATTAGTTTTTTACTAATTAATATTTAATGTTTCCAATTTAGGTTGAGATAGTGATATATTAAGAAGCTAAATAGTAAAAGAAAACAGAACTGAATAAATTTAACAAAGGAAGTGTAAAACTTATACTCTGAATATTACAGAGCATTGTTGAAAGAAATTAAGGAAGACCTAAATAAATGAAAAGACATTCTGTGTTGATGGATTGGAGGACTTATTAATATTATTTATAAGATTGCAGTATTCCCTAAATTGACTTACAGACTCAATGCAGTCCTTGTAAAAATCCCAACTGGCTTTTTTGAATGAATGGACTGATCCTAAAATTCATAAGGAAATTTAAATGACCCAGAATACCCAAAACAATCTTGAAAATGACAAACAAAGTTGGAGGACTCACTTTCTAATTTCAGAACTTAACTACAAAGCTACAGATTCAGATTGTGTGCCGCTGGCATAAGGATGTACACACAACCAACGAGATAGAATTGAAAGTCTGGAATTAAACCCATGTATCTGTGGTCAGTTAATTTTTTGACAAGGGTGGCAGAATCACTCAGTGAGGAAAGAATAGTCTTTTGAACAAATGGTGCTGGGACAACTAGATATTCGCATGCAAAGGAATGCATTTGGACCTCTATCTCACACCATATTAAAAATTAACACAAAATGGATTATAGACCTAAATGTAAGATTTAAAACTGTAAAACTCTTAGAAGAAAACATACCTACACATCTTGACTTTGAATTAGGCAAAGCCATCTTGGACCTGAAACCAAAAGTGCAAATGACAAAAGAAAAAGAATAGATAGGCCAGGCACGGTGGCTCACACCTGCCTCTCAGCAGGCTTTGGGAGGCCAAGGCGGGCGGATCATCTGAGGTCACGAGTTCGAGACCAGCCTGGCCAACATGACAAAATCCCGTCCCTACTAAAAGTACAAAAGTTAGCCAGGTATGGTGGCACATGCCTGTAATCCCAGCTGCTCGGGAGGCTGAGGCAGGAGAATTGCTTGAACCTGGGAGGCGGAGGTTGCAGTGAGCCGAGATTATGCCACTGCACTCCAGCCTGGGCGACAAGAGTGAGACTCCCTCTCAAAAAAAAAAAAAAGATAAATGGGACTTTATCAAAATGATAAACATTTATGCTTCAGTGGACACCACTAAGAACAAGAAGTGATAGCCCACAGAATGGGAGAAAATATTTTGTTAATCATGTATCTCACAAGTGACTTGTATGTAGAGTATGTGAAGAACATTTACAACTCAATAATAAAAAGACAACCCAATTAAAATATGGGCAGGGCTGGGTGCAGTGGCTCAAGCCAGTAATCCCAGCACTTTGGGAGGTTGAGGCAGGAGGATGACTTGAGCCCAGTAGTTCAAGACCATCCTGGGCAACATAGTGAGATCCCATCTCTACAAAAAAAAATATTAAAAATTAGCTGGGCATGGTAGGTAAAGTGTCTGCTGAGGGGAAGAGGTTTCTTTTTGGGATGATGAAAATGTTTTAAATTGATTGTGGTGATGATTGCACAACTGTGTGTGTAGTAAACACTGAGTTGCACACTTTAAATGGGTGAGTTGTATGGAATGTGAATTATATTATAAATACCATATTTATATAATATAAAAATACATAATAATGTAATATATATAATATATGATATATATAGATAGAGTCTTGCTCTGTTGCCCAGACTGGAGTGCAGTGGCACAGTCATGGCGCACTACAACCTTGAACTTTTGGGCTCAAGTGGTCCATCTCCCTCGGCCCCTAGAGCAGCTGGTACTACACATGGGTGCCACCTTGCTTGGCTCATTTAAAAAAAAAATTATTTTTGAGGCTGAGTCTTGCTCTGTTGCTTAGGCTGGAGTGCAGTGCAGTGGTGCAGTCTCAGCTCACTGCAACCCTCTGCCTTCTGGGTTCAAGTGATTCTCCTGCTTCAGCCTCCCAAGTAGCTGGGACTACAGGCAGGTGCCACCATGCCCAGCTAATTTTTTTTTTTTTTTTTTTGAGACGGAGTCTTGCTCTGTCGCCAGGCTAGAGTGCAGTGTGGCGTGATCTCGGCTCACTGCAACCTCCGCCTCCCAGGTTCAAGCGATTTCTCTGCCTCAGCCTCCCCAATAGCTGGGACTACAGATGCACGCCACCACACCCAGTCAACTTTTTGTATTTTAGTGGAGACACAGTTTCACCATGTGGTCTCAATCTCCTGACCTCGTGATCCACCTGCTTTGGCCTCCCAAAGTGCTGGGATTACAGGTGTGAGCCACTGCACCCAGCCTAATTTTTGTATTTTTACCAGAGACAGGGTTTCGCCATGTTGGCCAGGCTGGTCTCGAACTCCTGACCTCAAGTGATCTGCCCTCCTCAGCCTCTCAAAGTGTTGAGATTACAGGTATGAGCCACCAAGCCTGGCCTAAATTTTTTTTCTGTAGAGATGGGGTCTGGCCTAAAATTTTTTTCTGGAGAGATAGAGTCTCTCAAAAAAAAAAGGCTGGTTTTAAACTGCTGGGCTCCACTGATCCTCCTGCCTCAGTCCCCTGATCTACTGAGATCACAGTCGTGAGCCACTGCATCTGTACTTTGAATTATATTTTAATAAAGGTTTTACATTTCAAAAGAGAAAGTGGGACTGTATAATATATATAGAGAGAGTGATAAATATTTTGTGAGAACCAGGTATCACCTGAGGAAATAATTTTAATCATGACATCAGGAGGAAGGTTGATTGAAGTGAGACTAAGATAAACCTTCACTTTTTGGTCAGTATACAAAAAACAAAAACCTGGAAAAATCCTTCCTTTAATCCCCCCACCCCCCTCCCCCATACCATGTAATGAAAACAAATGAGAGATACCTGTAAATACTGATACAAGATAATTTGTGCCAGTTCTCTTTCCCCTTATTGAGTCAAAAGTTGCTGCCAGATTTTATAAAGGCAGGATAGGTGAAATAAATCTCGCATGGGGGGCCAACCCTATCTAAAGTGGCCTTAAATTCAAGGAGACTTCATTTACAGCAATTAAAATGAGAACAAAATGTGATTTATAGAGTCATGTATAATTTTAGGCTTTGTTCTAGTTACTCTGGCCATATATCGCTTATCCCTCAAACAATCATTAATTTTATTTATGCATTTTGTGGGCCTAGACTCAGAACAGCGTTCAGTGCTGATGTCTTGACTTTGCTTCATGATGCCTGAGGTCTCAGCAGAAGAAAAGGCTCAGGGCTTGAATCATTTGAAGGCTCACTCACCTGTGCGTTTGGCAATTGATGCTGGTTTGGTTGGTGGACTGAGTTCTTCCTACGATCCTCTCACTGTGGCCTCTCCACATCAGTCTGGGCTTTCTCACAGTATGGCATCTGGGCTCCCAGCGCAAGCATCCCGGGAGAGCAAGAGCAGAGCAAGCTATGCCGTCTGTTATCATGTCTCCAGAAGACCTGCGCTGTACTTCTGCCGCATTCTGTGCAGCGAGGCAGTCACAGTGTCCTGGTCAGATTCACGTGGAAGGAGAGAATCTCTAGATCTTGATGGAGAGGGACAACATACTAGAAGCACATAAAATACTGTTCTAGAAATACTATTGTGGGCGATTTTTTTTTAAAATTTTTTAGGAAAATACAGGCTGCCACAGACCCATAAGGGGACCTTACAGGCAGCCGGTCCATTCCCTCATTTCCCAGGTGAGGACACTTACATGCAGAGGCACACCGCATGGCCACAGTCAAGGGGCATGACCACAGTCGTATTCTGTGGTTGGTCAGGCTGGGACAGGAATGCAGCTTTTCTGACTCTAGGCTTGGGTCTTTCTCATGATGCCGCCCTACTCCCCTTTCCTGATCATGTAGTTCAGTCACTCATCTCATAAGTGTTCCTCTCCTTGGAGCTTTCTCCAATAAGCAGACAGGCTATCAGGAGCAAGACTAGCAGAGTTCCAGCACGTGTTGGGGATGCATGTGTTTCTTATCCTTTTCTCCCTCCATTGTTTTAATTGACCCTAAGTTTTTAAACAGAAGAAGTCCTAGCTGACTGGTATACTATGGCAATACAGTAGAATGGAGTCAATTCCTAACGTTTGGAAACTAAGTGGTAAATCTAGTTGAGCATTTCTGTTTGCCTTTTTTCAGGTGCTCAGAATTTTGATGTCATACGACTATCAACTTACAGAACAGCCTGCAAATTACGATTTGTACAAAAACGATGCAACCGTGAGTCATTTCTACTCATTTCTGTGATAGCTGGAGAGAGTTCTCAATATTAGAAAAGACTTTAACATCTTTTAGTTATATTGTGATGCTAATTGAATTATTTTTTATCTGAAGTATTTATCAGGATGTAAGCTTTGTAATGGAAGAACTTGTCATTTCACTCCTTTGTCCCTCAAAATGTTTAACAAACAATCATGGAACTAGTTTTGAGGGTGGTGTAGTATTAATGTTCTTTAAATGGGAGAATCGATTTCTCTGTCACTTTTATTAAGGAAATGCTTTATACAAAATGTTTTATACAAAATTAATACAGTTTATCAGCTGCTGGAGGAATAGTAAAACAATGTTTTTGATAAAGGTATAATTGGAATTGATTTTCTTGATTAAGCTTAATGTAACATGAATCAACCTTTTCTATAAATAATTGCTACCATGTGGATTATAAAATAAAGTGTGTGTCTGTGTATATGTATATATATGTCTGTGTGTATATATGTAATCTTTCTTCTCTTTATTTCCACGAAGATGAACTAGCTCATGACAGAATTATTTTACTTTTCTCATGTTTGTGTGTATCAGTGGAAAAAGGGTTTTATACAATGGAAAGAACATTAACCTTAGAATTGAAAAACCTTGGTTTTAGACCTGGTTTTGCCATTTATTATAAACAGGTAATCTTGGGCAAATTACATTACATCTGATAAATTCTACCCTACTTTGGGCTGGGCGCAGTGGCTCACGCCTGTAATCCCAGCACTTTGGGAGGCCGAGGGGGGCGGATCACGAGGTCAGGAGATTGAGACCAGCCTAGCTAACACAGTGAAACCCCATCTCTACTAAAAATACAAAAAATAGCTGGGCGTGGTGGTGGGTGCCTGTAGTCTCAGCTACTGGGGAGGCTGGGGCAGGAGAATGGCGTGAGCCTGGGAGGCAGAGCTGGCAGTGAGCTGAGATGACACCACTGCACTGTAGCCTGGGTGACAGAGTGACTCCGTCTCAAAAAAATATATAAAAAATAAAATAAAATAAAATAAAATTCTACCCTACTTTAAGTCTTACTCACAAATCTTAACTTAAAATTCTCTCCGAAGAATTTATCATGCCATCCTAGATCGAAGTGATGTTTCTTTCTTCAGTGGTTTCTCAAAGTATTATTTTTTACATTATGGGTTGTGACCCATTAATGCTTCATGAAATCATTTTGATGGGCTGTAGCCAGAATTAAAAACATTTAATAGGAAAAAAAGGAAGAAAAATAAAATATTAGAATGCAGCTCGTGTGGTAAGGCTAAAACATGCTCTAAAGGCTAGAACTTTTTTTTAAAAAATATATCTAGATGTATGTATGTGTTTGTGTATGTGATGATTTAAATATATTTCTGTGATGATTTAAATATATTTATATGTCTAGATGTATATATGTGTTTGTGTGTGTATGTGTGTATGTGATGATTTAAATATATTTCTGTGCTTGTGGTCAAAAAGTTCGAAAACCACTGCCATAGAGCAACTCATTTTATAATTCTTCCCATAATTATTCTTGGGAAACAGTAGTCTACGTGTGGAGTGTTGAGAGCCTGAGTAGGCTAGTGGCATTAGTAATACAAAGGAAAAGATGCGTTGTTCTAAAGGGTTTTTTTTTTTTTTCCTAAAGGTTTTATTTTGTTACCTTTCACATAGGATTCTAGAGTTAATCTGAAAAAATTTTTGAGAATGTGTGGGATAAGTAATAGTCAGCTTTCAGCTTTTTCCATATATACGTTCACTTGTTCCTTCATGGTTTTTTTCTTTTTTTTGAGACAAAGTCTCGCTCTGTCGCCCAGGCTAGAGTGCAGTGGTGCGATCTTGGCTCACTGCAAGCTCCGCCTCCCGGGTTTACGCCATTCTCCTGCCTCAGCCTCCCGAGTAGCTGGGACTACAGGCGCCCACCACCATGCCCGGCTAATTTTTGTATTTTTAGTAGAGACAGTTTTGCCATGTTTTCCAGGCTGGTCTTGAACTCCTGGCCTCAAGTGATCCACCTGCCTTGGCCTCCCTAAGTGCTGGGATTACAGGAGTGAGCCACCACGCCCAGCCTCTTCATTGGATTTATTCTTAGGTCTTCAGTGACATGATACTATTATTTTAAAATTTCATTGTTATGTTACTGATGTATAGAAATACAGTGATCTTTAGATCTTAATCTTATTTCTAGCAGTTCTTCTCGACTCATATTAATCTATCTGTAGAATCTTTGATTTCTGTGTACATGGTTTTCTTATTTCTGAATAATGACAGTTTCAGTTACTCATTTCCAATACACTAATTATTTCTTTATCTGAATATTTATGTCGATTTGGCCTCAAGTACAATAGAAATGAGGACAATGAGCATTCCTTATCTCATTCCCATTATTGGAGCAAAACCTTTCATTTTACTATTAAGTAATATGTTTGTGGCAAGTCCTTTGTAGATAACATTTGTCTTAGCCAGTTTTCTGTTGCTTATAACAGAGTACCTGAAACTGGATGGTTTATAAAGGAAGAAATATATTTTGTATAGTTGTGGAGGCTGGGAGGTCTAAGATTGAGGGGCCATATATGTTGAAAACCATCTTGCGGCTGGGGACTCTCTGCAGAGTCTGGAGGTCATGCACACCATCCCATGGTGAGGACGCTGAGTGTGCTAGTGCAGGTCTCTCTTCCTGTTTTTATAAAGCCACCAGTCCTACTCCCATAATAACTCATTAATTAGTCAATTAATCCTTGAGTAGATTAATCCATTCATGAAGGCAGAGCCCTCATGATTCAATCACCTCTTAAAGCCCACCTCTCAATACTCCCACATTGGGGGTTAAATTACATTTCAACATCATTTTTGCAGAGGACAGATATTCAAACTGTGACAACCTTAATCAGATTAAGAAAGTTTCCTGATAGTGTATTTCTTCATTTCTAAAAATAAGATTTCCTTTAAAAGTTGTCTTTTGATTATGATTTCTAACTTAATTTCATTTTGATCAGAGAGCATGACTCATAGGATTTTAATCCTTTAAAATTTATTGAGATTTGCTTTATGGCTCAGGATATGGTCAATTTTTTTTTTTTTTTTTTTTTTTTTTTTTTTTGAGACAGGGTCTTGTTCTGTGGCCCAGGCTGGAGTGCAGGGGCAAGATCTAGGCTTACTGCGCTTCGCTTCCCAGATTCAAGTGATTCTCCTGCCTCAGCCTCCCGAGTTGCTGGTATTACAGGCAAGAGCCACTACACCTGGCTAACTTTTGTGTTTTTAGTAGAGACAGGGTTTCACCATGTTGGCCAGGCTCGTCTTGAGCTCCTGATCTCAAGTGATCTGCCCACCTCGGCTTCCCAAAGTGCTGGGATTACAGACGTGAGCCACTGTGCCCAGCCAAGGATGTGGTCAATTTTTATATGTATCTTTGTGTACTTGAAAATAAAGCATATTCTCTCATCAGTGGAGGCTGTACTTCGTGTAGTGCTCATTATGCCTACTTTGTTAGTTGTGAAGTGTAATCGTCTGTATCTGTACTTTTTGAGTGGTATTTGCACTATCACTTACTAAGAGAGGTGAATTAATATCTCCCACTAAGCTTCTGAATTCCTTTGTGTCACTTGGAGGTTCTGTTTATTTTTGTTTTATATATTTTGAGACTGTTCTATTAGATGTAAATACATGTAAAGTTCCTATATCTTTCTTTATTTTCTTTTTTTTTTTTTGACCACAGGATCTCACTTTGTCACTCAGGCTGAAGTGCAGTGATGCAGTCATAGCTAACTGCAGCCTTGAACTCCTGGGTTTAGGCAATCCTTCCGCTGTAGCCTCCCCAGTAGCTAAGACTACAGGCATGTGCCACTATGCCTAGCTAATTAAAAAAATTTTTTTTGTGGAGATGGGATTCCATTATGTTCTCCAGGCTGGTCATGAACTCCTGGCTTCAAGCTAAGCCAGGAGTGGGATTACAGACATGAGCCACTGCATCAAGCTGCTGATATCTTTCTTATGAATTAAAACTTTTATCATTGTTCAGTGACCCTCTTTATCTTTAACAATATGTTTTGTCCCACCATTAAAAAAAATATAAAGTTCATATACTATAAAATTCACCCTTTTAGAGTGTATAGTCTTTTCACTGAGTTTTAGTATATCCACAAAGTTGTACAACCATCATCACTATCTAATTCTAGAACATTTTCATCACCCCAGAAACAAACCACATACCCATTAACAGTCACTCCACTTTCCCTTCATCTCCCAGCTCTGGTGGGTACTAATATACTTTTTTTTAACGGATTTGCCTATGTGGACATTTCATATAAATAGAATCTTAGAATATGTGCTCTTAACTGTCTGGTATCTTTTACTTAGAATAATGTTTTCAGGGTTTATCCATATTGCAGAATGCATCAGTACTTCATCCCCCCCTTTTTTTTTTTGAGATGGAGTTTCACTTTTGTTGCTCAGGCTGGAGTGCAATGGCATGATCTCGGCTCACTGCAAGCTCCGCCTCCCAGGTTGAAGTGATTTTCCTGCTTCAGCCTCCTGAGTAGCTGGGATTACAGGCATGCACCACCACACCTGGCTAATTTTGTATTTTTAGTAGAGATGGAGTTTCTCCATGTTGGCCAGGCTGGTTTTGAACTCCCAAACTCAAGTGATCCGCCTGCCTTGGCCTCCCAAAGTACTGGGATTATAGGCGTGAGCCACCATGCCTGGCCACTTCATCCCTTTTCATGGTCAAATAATATGCCATTGTATGCATATGCCACATTTTATTTATCTATGTATCTGTTGATGGACATTTGGGTTGTTTTCACTTTTGGCTATTATGAGTAATGTGCCTATGAACATTTGTACAAGTTTTTGTGTAGACATATGTTTTCAATTCCGTAGGGGTAGAATTGCTGGGTCATATGGGAACTGTGTGTAACTTCTTAAGGAACTCCTGAATTGTTTTCCAAAGCAGCTGCATGATTTTACATTTGCACCAGCAGTTTATACGAGTTTCAACCTCTTTACATCCTCACTGACACTTGTTTTCCATTTAAGTAAAAAGTCTAGCTATTCTAGCGGGTGTGAAGTGGTATGTTATTGTAGTTTTCTTTTGCATTTCCCTAATGACTAATGATGTTGAGCATCTTTTCATGTGCTTGTTGGCTATTTGTGTATCTTCTTTGGATAAATGTCTATTTAAATTATTTGCCCATTTTTAAGTTGGGTTGTCTTTTTTTAATTGTTGAATTGTAAGAGTTTTTATATGTCTGGATCCTAGACCCTTAATGGATGCTTGGTTTACAAATTTTTTTCCCATTCTTTGGAGTTGCCTTTTCACTTTCTTGATAGTATCCTTTGAAACACAGACTTTTAAAATTTAAATAAAATGCAATGTATCTCTTTTTTGCTGCCTATACTTTAAGTGTCTTGTTCCTGATCTTAAGGACAGAGCTTTCAGTCTTCCCTGATTAAGTATGATGTTGGCATTGGGGTTTCTTGTAGATACCCTTTATCAGGTTGAGGAAGTTTTCTTCTAGTTTTAGTTTGTTGTGTTTTTATTATGAAACAGTATTTGATGTTTCCAAATGCTACTTCTATGTCTGTTGAGTTGATCATTTGGTTTTCCAAGCTCCCCCGCTTTTTTTCCTGTTACAAACAAAGTTACATCACCTTTGTTTTGGTTAGAAATTGTCATCCACTTATATTTAACCTTTTTTATGTCCTTATGTTTTATACGTATCCCTTGCAAACCGCATATAATTTGATTATTTAAAAAAGTGTGAATTTGTCAGTCTTTGTCTTGTAAGTGGTATGTTAGTATGTTTGTAGTTACTGCAGTTGACTGATACATTTGCATCCACACCAGCCATCTTTTCTTGTGCTCTTTGTGCTACTTGTTCTGTGTTTCTTGCCTTCTTTTGGATTGAATAGTTGTATTTTCCTAATTTCAGTTCTTCCCCTAGTTTTTCAGCGTTGGAACATATAGTTTCAGGTTTTCTTTACTTGAAAATGTCTTTATTGAACCTTTTTTCTTGAAAGTTTTTTTATACTAGGTATAGAATTTTGTTGGTGGTTTTGATTTCTTTTCAGCACATTAAAATTATTTTGCAGTCTTCTGCTTCCTTTTTTGCTTGAAGTCAGTCAGGCATCATTCTTAATTATTTTTCTTTCAAGGAAATGTCTCTTTTCTGTGTAGTTTAGTATTGTTTACTTTTTGTGCACTTAAGAAGTTTTTATGTTCCATCTAGGAATTTTTGTCGTTTTCAAGAGGAGTGTAGACCCAGCTACCACGCCTACTTTATTACTGGAAATTGAATTTAAAAGAAAGTCAGGTTTTAAATAATGGAGGAAATATGCAGTAGATAAATTTATTTTTGGCTGAGCTATGAGTTGTTCAGAGCTCTGAGTAGCCTCTAAAACATATTAATATTTTACTTAATGCAGTTGTATTTGTCTCTGTCTTTAGGTCATAGAGTAAAGTTTCAGTTGTAAAATGTTGCTTTAGTTGCTAGGCTAAAGTAATACAATGAAGTTGACTCAAGGTGATACAGCAAATTTTCAAAAAGGCTAGAAATTCTTATGAGTAGTTCTTGATCTTTTTCTCAAATTATCCTTTGTTAGGAATTGCTTGGGTCACTATTTGCAGAGACGTGAAATACTAGCTCTTTAAATGTGAAGGCTGGAAGTAGTTCTTCCCATACCACTGTGGTGGCTCCTTGATGTTGTCTGGGACTGATGTTCTTTATTTGACCACAGGATGTTTCCTCATTGTTGGCTAAAGAGTTTCTTCTCTTTAAATTTAAGAACTAGTTAATAAATTTAAGATTCCTATTGTGGGCCGGGCGCGGTGGCTCAAGCCTGTAGTCCCAGCACTTTGGGAGGCCGAGACGGGCAGATCACGAGGTCAGGAGATCGAGACCATCCTGGCTAACATGGTGAAATCCCGTCTCTACTAAAAAATACAAAAATCTAGCCGGGCGAGGTGGCGGGCGCCTGTAGTCCCAGCTACTCGGGCGGCTGAGGCAGGAGAATGGCATAAACCCGGGAGGCGGAGCTTGCAGTGAGCTGAGATCCAGCCACTGCACTCCAGCCCGGGCGACAGAGGGAGACTCTGTCTCAAAAAAAAAAAAGATTCCTATTGTGAAGGGTAGTACCACACTTTAACATTGTTGACAGTTTATTTTCTTTGTCTTTTAGTTCATCTTGTTGATATCTGGAACATGATTGAAGCCTTCCGAGACAATGGCCTTAATACACTGGACCATGCCACCGAGATCAGTGTGTCCCGCCTTGAAACTGTCATCTCCTCCATCTACTATCAGTTGAACAAGCGCCTTCCTTCTACTCACCAAATTAGTGTGGAACAATCTATCAGCCTCCTCCTCAACTTTATGATTGCTGCATATGACAGGCTAGTACCTTACCTTACATGCTTACTTCATTTTAAGAACACCTGTCTCTGAGTCATTCTTGTTGCATACTGCCTTGCTAAGGGCTGGCAACTTAGAATCATGGTTAAAAGGGAATGTATTAGCCGGGTGCGGTGGCTCATGCGTGTAATTCCAGCACTTTGGGAGGCCAAGGTGGGTGGATCACAAGATCAGGAGATGGAGACCATCCTGGCCAACACGGTGAAACCCCGTCTCTACTAAAAATACAAAAAATTAGCCGGGCATGGTGGCACGTGCCTATAGTCCCAGCCACTCAGGAGGCTGAGGCAGGAGAATCGCTTGAACCTGGGAGGCAGAGGTTGCAGTGAGCTGAGATTGCGCCACTGCACTCCAGCCTCGGCGACAGAGTGAGACTCCGTCTTAAAAACAACAACAACAACAACAAACAAAAAACAGGAAAATTTTTCAGTGTAAGCCCCACTAGAAACTGGTTCACAGTGACTTACTGTCCTAGAGTATGTCGTATATTAAACTCTGGAATATTGTGGAGAATCACAATGTTTGAGATGTATTGTTTGGGAAAATTATAGATACCTTAATACATCTGTTCTCTAGCTCATGAAAAATGCTAAGTTTTAAATTTGATTATGGGGCTATTTGACTTCTAAGGCTCCTCTTTCTTTTTTCTTCTATGCCTAGTTTGTTCAGAAGGCTAATCTGTACTCTGTAACATCAAATACTGGACTATAGTAACTGATTTTCTCTCTGTCTCTTTTTTTTTTTGAGACGGAGTTTCTTTCTTGTTGCCTAGGCTGAAGTGCAATGGCGTGTGAGCTCCACTCACTACTGCCTCCCACCCTCTGGGTTCAAGCAATTCTTTTGCCTCAGCCTTCCAAGTAACTGGTATTACAGACATGCGCCACCACGCCCAGCTAATTTTGTATTTTTAGTGGAGACAGGGTTTCTCCATGTTGGTCAGGCTGATCTCGAACTCCCAACCTCTGGTGATCTGCCCACCTCGGCCTCCCAAAGTGCTGGGATTACAGGCATGAGCCACTGCACCCGACCAAACTGATTTTCTCTTTATGTCTAGGAACCTATTTGAAATTTTTTCATTGCAGAACATAGTTTAGTAGATCTTAAAACAAAAGAAGAAAACTATTTAAATGTACTCCAATTGAAATGGACACTATTTGCTGCACTTATATTCATAGATAATTAAGTTGGTACTGTAAAGAATGAAACAACAAAATTGTAAAGCACAGATTTTTGATTGTGGAAGTACAGAGGTTAAATGGTGATGTTCTGCGAACCAGGAGTTCTAGTTTCTGCTATACTCTTGGCCATCTGATTTGAATGGATTGTCTCTGCTTCATTTTTTGCTGTCTGTAGACCTTCTTTGAGTGCATACATTTGTAAAATGCTATTAATTATATCTTATAATAGGGAAGAGTCTGTTAATTAGTGGTAAAACTACGGAAATGTCAAAGCCAAATCATAATTTAAGCAGTCACTAAATTCACACCATTTTTATAAGCTGTTATCAAATTAGACATTGTATCCTTTTAATAGAAAATTATTGAAGAAATTTACTTATTTTTTTGAGATGGGATCTTGCTATGTTTCCCAGTCTGGTCTCAAGCTAGTGGGCTCAAACAGTCTTCCCTCCCCAGCCTCTCTAGTAGCTGGCATTACAGGTGTGCACCACTGTGCCCGGCAGAAATCTGAATTTTAAAAATAAGAGTGTATAAGTGACGTAAGTCCCAGAATTCTAATGCCATTTTTTAGTAATTTAAGTTAGTGACTCTGTAAGTTAATGTTTTCCTGCCCAAGAACTGGCTTTTTGTTTCAAAACCCTTAGGAAACATTGTTATTCTGTGATAGGTAAGCAACACCTTTTCATGACACTGACTCACTCAATAAATCAGTCCACGGATCACACAACACAAATTAACTCAAGATACAATATTTTTTAAAGTCAGAAATAAAAACCATCTTACTCTCTAAAAATGGTCAAGCAGAGATTAAAATCTTGGATTCCGTAATTATGTCAAGTAAGTTAAATACTATGGCGCTTTAGCCTGCTGGGTTGCTCTAACAAAACGCCGTAAACTGGGCACTCTATCAACAACACAGATTTATTTCTTACAGTTCTGGAGGCTGGGAAGTTCAAGATCAAGGTAGATTCTGTGTGTGGGGAGGGCCTGCTTTCTGGATCCTAGATGGCACCTTTTTGCAGTATCCTCACATGACAAAGGGGGCAAAGAGTTCTCTGGAACCTCTTTTATAAGGGCACTAATCCTGTTCATGAGGACACCCTCATGACCTAATCATCTTCAGAAGGTCCCACTTTCTAATACCATACCTTGGGGGTTAGGATTTTAATGTGTGAATTTTGGGGGAATACAGACATTCAGGTTATAGCATATGGCTAAAGAGGGGAGAGGAAGGAAGAGGACGGAGATGGCAAAAAGGAGAATGGGAAGACCAAACTTAGAAGCAGAAGGTACAAGGATATCCTGGGCCATATTCAGAGAAGGATAGACACATACAGAGAGACAATGAGAATAAGTGGACAATGAATCAGATGAAGGCAGATGTGTAGAAACACATACCGAAAATAGCTAGCAAAAAAAAAAAAAAAAAAAGAGTGAGTTAAGAAGAGTAAGGGGTATAGTATGTTATTAGTGAGTTGGGTAATTTTTACTTTGATACGTTTAAAACATTAACCATGGTATCAGAATAAATGATCACATCTTTACTACCTTTGAAACCTTTATATGATAGAGCTTATTTGACTATCTAGAAGTTTAAAATTGACCTTCTTGTGTTGGAAAAAAAGAAAGAATCTGGTTATCAGAATGTTAATTTTGAAAACCAGGGCATTTTGTCATTAAATACTTCAAATGTTAGTCTTTTTATTGATTGGCCGCTTTATTACTTAGGCTGGAGAGTTCCTTTTATACATAGCAACCTATTTATTTATTTTAATTGAGCCTTCCAGCCTTTGTATTTCATAATTCCATAAGGTTAAAATTTGAAAGCAAAAATTATTTAATCTTCTCTCACCTCCAAATTTATAGTCCCTGTGTTTGGCCAGATGATTTCTGTTTATTATAATAATAGAGTATAAGACCCTGAAACAACAGTCAGGAACAAATAGGTTCTAAGACTTTTCCTTAAGTATTTTCTTAAGACCTAATTTTTTTTAATACTGAGAGTTCTGAATATGTTATATTTTGATAATTAAAAACATTGAAAAGCACAGAAACCAGTATTTACAAAACACCTGGGTATAGATTCTTAGTGAAAGCCAGAAGGAGTTGTGAAAATACTGATAGCTGCATTTTTTCCCTCTCAGTTTCTTCAGTTCAATACTACTGGTAGTCATACAGTCTGGTGCAAAGGTGCAACAAAGGTGCTTTGACCAATATAATAAGGATATCCCAATTCCCAGCATGAGAGAGAGGAGGTCTTCCTTACTCTTCTATGGCTAAGCCAATTTCACACTTTAAGGTTTGTTACTTACAAATCCCCTATTTCCAACCTTTGTATTAGTCCATTGTCTTTGCTGTAAGTAGTAGAAAGCCTACCCACATGGCCTTTTTATAAGAACATGGGTATAGGCTGACAAACTGAGGGGTCCAGAGGCAGGCCAGCCCCTCGTCATGGTTGCATCAGAGCTCTGGCTTCATTTCCTTGCGTGGCTTTGCCCTCTCCTTGTATCAGCTCCATCCTTAGGCTGACTTCACAAAATCTCTGTAAGCAGCTTCTACTAAATGTCTCCTCTTTGAAGTTGAGGTTAAGGAAGAGTTGGCTTCTATGAACACCAAGCCGAAGTACCCTTCTTTTAGACACCCATGACACAGCCTCAGGAGGCTCCTGACACCGTGTGCCCAAGGTGGTCAGAGTACAGCTTGCTTTTATGCATTTTAGGAAGACATGATGCATCAATCAGATACACTTAAGATTTACATTGGTTTGATGTGGAAGGGTGGGACAACTTGAAGAAGGACAGGGAGCTTCCAGGTCATAGGTAGATTTAAACATATTCTGATCGGCAATTGGTTGAAAGAGTTATGATAAAGAGTTGTGGAGAGCTAGGTTTTATCACACAGATAAAGCCTCCGAGTAGCAGATTGTAGAGAGAATAGACTGTAGATGTTTCTTCTCAGACTTAAGGTCTGTGTTGATGTTAATGCTGGGAGGGTATCATGAGGCATGTCCATCCCCAGCTTCCCATGCTGGCCTTAACCAGCCTTTGCGGTTAAATTTCAGAGTGCCCTGGCCCAGGAGGGAGTCCACTCAGATGGTTGCAGGGAGCCTTTGAATTTTATTTTTGGTTTACACTTACAATCTAATATCTAGATTTCCTGTGGTTCTTTTTGTACTATTTGTTGTTTCTGGTTTTCATTCATGATGTTTTATTTCCTATTTGCTTTGTTATTTTTTATTATAGGCTGAACATTATATAGCAAAATTATTTTTATTACATACCAAATATTATATTGCAGAATTATTTGCAGGGATACTTTGAGGCCTAGGATGATATTTTCTTCCAGAAAGGATGTATGTTTGCCTCTGCCAGGTGCCCCGAGACCTTAACAATCCAGGATCACCTCAATTCAGTTTCTGATTCAGTACCTGTGAGGACCTGTTTACTTCTGGACACTATTACCTTTAGGTGAAGCCTTTGGGCTCTTAGCCCAAAGTAATAGGAGAGTAGGGTAAGCAGGACCACGTGTCCCACCAAGGGACCCCTTCTGCCTTGGCAAATCCAAGCCTCCATGTCTTTCTTCTTGCCCACAGTACCATCAAAAAATTACTCTATATTTCATCTATTTTGCTTCCCCCTCTGGAATCAAATCACTTACATGGAAAAAGCGATTTCATCCATTGTACTCACTTCCCTGGGCATCCAGCCTCTCCTGCATTTGGTACCTTCAATTGTTAGTTCTCAACAATTTATAATCAAGGAGATTTTTGAAAACTTTCCCCATCTTTCCTTTTTTGCTCAGAG